CTTACTCAAAATGACCTTGTTTTCAATTATTACTTTTGTGCCATTTTATTACTTACATTACATTATGACTTTTCCCTGGAGGAAAAAAACGGTGTGCCCCACCTTTCCATCAATTATCTTGTAAATTATCTACCAATTATCTCACAAACTCATTGGATAATTGGGACTTAGGGCAAACCACACTGAAACAGGGGGCCTTCGTTAGGAAAGAGGAGCGGAGCAGCTACTGTCCTCAGAAAAACAGTGACCTGTGGGCAATTGAGATACAATGTCCGATGTAGTCGACATTAGCGTGATGTAAAAAATTTTCAGCAGAGAGAAACGAAATTGTCTAGCTGCATTGCAGTCTGTACACTCAGAGCCCTTAACTGGATTCTATTAGACGGTGCACATTAGCTGACAGAAGGATAGATAACCCATCCAATTTCCAGTTTGATGTAGCATTTCACAACGTTTGGGAGTCACATACCAGGTATAACTCCTTACAGGAGACATCGCATACAAAATCCACAAGTACTAGAGATGTTAGTGAGCCTGATAGTAAGTAGGATGACTAACGCTTCAAAAGGTCAGATGAATCACCTTTCTGGATTACTTCGAAAGGTGATGCAGCCAAAACATTCTTAAGAATGGAGGTTTCGTGTTTAAAAGGAAAATTGGAGCTCGTTGATGTGTCCGAGAAAAGACTGCAGGAAATAAGGAAGCCAGGGCTTTTGCAGTCAAACATGCATAAACTGATCATTAAGAATTGGCTGGGATCCATTTTAATATTAAAGTCTTGAAACTAAGATGGCACAGTAGAAATGTTAGCAATTAAATCACTTCGGCACTAAAAAAATCATATTAAATCAAATTAAAAGCAGTTAAATCAGAATGGCCATTTACTCTATTCCCCTGAAAATTATCCATACGCTGGTCCTCTACAATGTGTCCTGTATACAGATTGTATAGGCTTTAAAAATGTGTGTGTGTGTGTGTGTGTACTCAATTACTGTTAATATTTCAAAGGCATTCTTTGACTTTTTATTTTCTTAACAATACCCACACCTTATCATCTTAAAGTACCACTGCTTAAAGTCAATAGCTTAAAACAAAACATCACTAATCAAACTAACTTTGCTGTGTTTTGGATTTTTTTTTTTAGCTGAGCCATTCTACCACCTGTTTACAGCTCAGCTCAGGCTGGAAATCGAACCACTGTTGCTCAGAGATTAAACTCTTGAGCGAGCTCTTAACCAACTGAGCCACTCGGCAGGGCCTTGGGTATTCTTAAGAAGTAAGAAAGGAATCGTAAGCAATACTACTCTCACTATTGGATTATAAGGAGGCTTCTTTCTAGAAAGACAGTCTTCCCTGGTTAAGATACCACCACCGATCAGTCTCTCTCTCTCTCTCTCTCTCTCTCTCTCTCTCTCTCTCTCTCTCTTTCTCTCCCTTTCTCTCTCTCTGTCAACAAGAAAACACAGGGAAGGAGGCACGATGGACCTTATCCAACTCACCCAAAGGACTATGCAGGTTATTTTACAGCAAGAACTCCTTCTGAATACACATGCCCTGTGCTTTTCTCTCCAAGAAGGCTCTGCTTAGGTAGTAAAGAGTGGACTAATCAAGTTTGGATGATGGAAATTATTTTAAAACACAGAAATTGATGGCTGAAAAACTCCTTAAGTTTTAATGATGACATCCTAGCTTGGGAACACAGGATGTAGTATATTTATTGGCATCATCTCATTATAAAACGTTCCACAATTGATCCACACAAATGTATTAGATGTTCCTTATTTTCTTAAAGGAAAACATCCCCATATCTGTTTTCCATCCATAATTAATATGAGAGGGTAATTCCCCTCCCATCCCCCAAATACTGTAAGGCGATTGTGAACTCATTCATTGATCAGCCTACAAGAACAAATCATTCAGTCCTATTTCTGACAACTGAGCTAAAAACAAACCAACCCACAACACAGGCATCACAGTGCAGTTTCTTCATGATAGCAATAGGCAGAGTGGTTTTTTTTTTTATTATTATCATTATTACATGGCCTTATGATTTCTTCATCCTGACGTTAATAGTCAATGCTGAAATAGTCTATGTACGTAATTGTTGGGCTGGAAAAAGAAAGAATCTCTAATGCAAGTATTTATACCTTCTGCAATGAAAACAAGATATTATTGCCTGGTGTGACCTTTCCTAAGTACGGAATACAGCATTTTACACAATAGTTTCTTGGTTCATGCTTCAATTACTGACCTTTACTGTGTAGAAAATTAATGCAATTTTCATTGTAATCCATCCGTACAAATAAGTTCCCCACAGAAGAATTCCACATATGGAATCTAATACAAATAGGAAATGTCAGCTGATGGCTGTGGGCTGAACTTAGCCATTATCTGTGTTCTAGGGTCCCCAGCAAACTGTCCTTGTAACAAGCAATTTCTTCTGTGGCCCATCAGGTATAAGACAGAAAGAAAAAGAAAAAAAAATTTTTTTCCTCTCTTCAAAGTTTAGTTTGTACTTTTAGTTTTCGAAAAGCCTGAAAAGCTAGTTCCCCGAAAGTTCTATGTTCTAACTTGAAAGCTGACAAAAGAAAGGAAGGCAAAATTGTAGCGTCTAATTTGGTTTCAAATACAGATGACTACCGTGGACTTCTGACAAGAAGAAGGAGAAAGAGGCTGTAGTGATATTATTTTGCAACAATCCCCGGTCCAGACAATAAAAGTATATGACAGACCCCAGACCCGGTCCTGGTCTGTGCGCTGGAGACAGGCAGAATATGGGAAAGTGTCCACGTCCTGAGGAAGTTGTGCCAAGAGGCCCCAGCCTGCTTTCATCTCCACAGTTGTCTGCAATGGTATTTGGTGGGAAGGGGAGCTGGCAATTAAGGAGTGTCACTTTCAAGATGGATAGGTCGGCTAGAAAGGAGTTGCCTCTCTTCTTCGAGTTTGGAAGGAAACGGCGGTGTGTTTATAATTTGTAAACAGTTCATCGCTCGTTGGGGGTGTAACAGTTCCCAGAAGCGTGGTCTGTCATGTCTAACATGCAACAGAAGCCAGGAGGGCTGTGTGGAGGAAACCCTTTGATACAGACACAGGGGAGGGGAGTGGCCCTGTGCCTGGGTGGGGAGGTCTGTGACGAGCACATCTCAGTGGTGCAGGCTGCTCTACACGGAGAAGAAATGCTAGATTGTAATGTGTATGTGGGTGATGTGTGCTCTGGGAGATCTGACGTGGAAAATCCCTCTCGTTTACGCCAAAAGATATGGATGAGGACCCCGAAGTTGGCTGGTGACCTCTAACGATAGGAGTACGGTTGTGTTAAGCAGGAGATGCATGGCCAGAAGTCAAAATTTCACATCAGGCTTATTATTATTTTTTTTTACAAGATTTCACAAAAAATATATAAAATTGAGGAAGCAAAACAAACACGACCGTGCTGTGGCTATAAAAGACCCTGTGAGAATATTACAGTCCAAGTAGATCGAGCGCCAAAATGGCCCTGGAGGAAAGGAGAGAGTCCCAGTACTAGCAGCCTCAGTGTGAGATGGTTGGACACGGCTGTCATGGCTCCAAGGCACATCTACTTAGATGCTGTGGTCCCGACTCAGGCATCCTTGTCCCAAAGGGCTTGAGGCAGAGCCCAGAGGCTGTACCTCAAGACCTCGGGCCCCAGGTAGCTGTGGAGGCCCCTTCGCATAAGGTTAGACCTTGGCAGCCACTGCTGTACACTTCCTGGCCCAAATGTGTTGCCGGCCATTGCCTTCTTGTTGGATGCTATCCTTTATCAGATGGGCCAAAGACACAAGGTCACTAAAAGGCAGACGATGTCCACCTCCTTCCATGGCTGGCTCATTTTTAATGTCCCGGCCAAACGGAAAGAAATCTTTCACACTTCCCAGCCTTGGTTAATACAATTCAAAATTTTTCCCAGTATAGGTTTAAAAGGATTTCAATAAGACGCAAGTGTTTCCTTTGGTAAAACACCCCTTCATCATGCACTATCCCTTGGCTGTGTCTAGTTTTAATGTTCATAGATTTATGTCACTCAGAAACCACCCACACAAATTCATCAAGGAGGAAGATATCTCTGCGCGACCTTTATTCTGAAAAGGGTCAATGCACTTTCTAAAAATATTTTACTGCTTTATTTTATTATTTTGCTATGAATAATCATTTTAGCACAACAAATAAGGTTTACTTGGTAATCCACCCAGTGTGCTTCAAATGGGCAAAGCCCACCTGACTCTCTCGATTCATTTTAAGGTTGTTTGTGTCACGGAGCCAGTGTTTTTAAATTCATTTCTGTTTCCCGGGAAATTTATGCTGGGTCCTTCATTCTTAGGGCCCCCCCACACACACGCCTTTTGCCCTTTTCCTCCCCCCGCAGGCTTCCTGGACGCTGCCCACAGGTTCTAAGGGACCTAGAAGTCCATTACGCTCGCGGCATCTCATTTGGCTTTTTTTTTTTCTTGTTATTCCAGAAGGTTTGTCTGAAAGCGTAATGACAACAAAAGCAGCAGATTTGAGAGATTCTCCCAGGAGAAGGAAAAAGGACAGATGTACACAGACATATAGCTGAACACGTTGCCAGCAACAGCTGGGGAAGTGACAGGCTCTGACGTGGGTGACCACCCCACCGAGCACAGCCATGAACCTAAAAGAAAGAGTGTTCACTTGATTTGCTCTGACTTCCTCGGCTACCTTTTAGACACCAAGGAGAAGGAGAATGTCCCCTTGCATCAAATGACAGGCCTCCTATAGGTATGCTTTTCATAATAACATTTCAGTTATTCCTTATATTTTACCCCCGTTCATCCTTATTTAAAAAAAAATAAGAATAAAAAAAAACACTTAGAAAGAGATATACTCATTAAATGACAAGAATATTAATGTACTAGTCACTCCATAGTACTAAAAAACATAGAATTTGACCCAATCTAGAAGAATGCTATCTAATGAAAATATTATTGTCACCTTTCATGTTCTTTCTTGAGTGCACTCACCTTGTCATCTTCCTCCTCCTCTTCATCAATGTCTGTGCTGTCCTGAAAGGAAAAACCACAATGTGTTCACAAAATATCAACTGAAATCGCCAAGTGCAAATTGAACTCATGCACATTTTTAAAAAAGTTTTCCTACATCATTTAAGCACTAGTATTTTTAAAATGCATTATAACCCCTTCCAAAGTAACTCTTTTCAAGTTCAGGGACGCTGTGGCAAAAGCATAAACGATATGCATAATCTACATACAACTTAACTATAAATAAAGCTATTAGGCAAGTGCCCTTTGAAGGCACCTACAGCTTTAAAAATGCATTGCCGAGTTGTACTTCTTCTGCAAACAATTTTGCTCTTATTCTGACAAATGAACCAACTGCTACGTTAAGGCTGAGAGTACCATACTCCGTTTGTGCTAGGCTCATTGTTATAATGATTTCTCTTTTCCTTTGGGGCCATTACTGAAACATTAGACAGTAGAAAATGCATTAGTCGGAATATAATCAATCTCAAGAATAAGTTACAGGTTTCTATACAGTGCGATTGTTTTCCTTGGGCTTTGGGGTTGTGGGGGGTAGGGGGGGCAGGTGAGGGAAGGAAACTCTAGGCTCTGATCTGGACTAAAGGCGCCTTGCTTTAGTTCAGGGGTCAAAGGCCCAGCTGTGATGCAAATGGACTGGTTCAGATGCATTTAGAAATCTTGACTATCTCATAGGGAAATTTCCATCCGGTCACTGCCATCTTTAAAAGCTAGCACATGTTGGTTCACTATCAGATGGGTTCAGTAGCTCGGAAAGAAGGCGAGGTATTAGAAAACTAGGGTCTATTTTCAGCTTGAACACTTACCTTTCTGCTTAAACTTAAAGGTCAGTCATGCTGTTTAGATGTCATTGTTCCCATAGAAAAAAGATTTGTCAATATCATGCTCTTAAAAGGGAGTAACTCTGGAGTAACCAGAGAGTACTCGGCTATACTCCATAAAACCTCTGAGCAGCAATCAAGCAATGTCTCCAGGGCTGGTACCTCATTACCTCCCAGGATTCCCATGAACTTCAACTAGCACTTTGTGTGACACTAGCCTGTTCACCATTGGCAGCAAGCATGTTTTGTGAAAGCGAAGTGATAAAAGCAAACAATAACAAACACATGTTCTGGGAGAAAAACCACTGGAATTACAAGTTAGAAGTCTTTAGCTTGAGACAAAGTCTTGCTGTGTGACTTTGGGCAAATCGCTATGCCAATCTGAGCCTTAGTTTCATCGAGCATAAAAAGAAAATAGTAATTCTTGCCTCCTTCATGGTTGTGTTATCGAGATTACATTAGGTAATACATTGGAAACTGTTTTGTAAATGAAAAGGTTTTTATACACACGTATACATTTACATACACATATACATAAGTGTACTTGGGTACCCATGTATATCTTTATATATATAGCAAACAAATACATACCCAGGCTATAAACATATACATCATATATAGCTGGAAAAATAAAATCTGATTAAAAAACGGAAAAATATTAGTCGACAGCATTTTTATTACAGATGTTTCTCTGTAAAAATTTCCCTCACCTGTATCTCGGTGAAACTTAGTCTTTAAATGAAACTTACTTTAAAAGTATTTATTTATTAGGTGGTTCTAGCATCTTTAGGCCCTTCTTTATTGATCTATATCCATGCATTAAACAATAAAAAATCAAACAGGACAGAATTTTGAAATTCCTTGAGGTTTTTAATCCATGCCAAAAGACTCATTTCCCCCCAGTTCCCGTATGTCCCAAAGGACACCAGAACTATCCCTTTAATACCCATTATTTCAGAGCTTTTTAAAAAAATCATGAGAACAGTATAAGGACATACGGGTAAAGATGGTCAGCTTGTGAGTCTTAAAAAAAAAAAAAAAAAACCAATGTGAACCTGATCTGCTATCAGGTCTCAAAACCTTAGATTTTTGTTTTAAAAGTTGGTTCTTGAATCTGATGTGCCAAGATTATACCATAAAGCAAGTCCCTAAATACAAATTCCTGCTCACGCAGGGCAGGAAAAGATCCTCTGGGCTGGGAGGAAAGGGGTAGAGGAAAGAGCTGCGTCAGAAGTGAAATAAGTGGTTGCTGGGGGATGTCTTTGAGAAGAGGCCTCGGTGGGGCTTCCTTGAACCATGGTAAGTTTGAGATTTACAACCAAAACTTGAACACTCCAGAATAGAGGGGCCCATGCCCACCCACTCTCAGGGGACCACCGAAGGCTTTTCTCTGGTGGTTGAGAATGTTCTTCGAAGTCACCTTATGGAGAACCAGATGTGTACACAGACATGTTCTGCTGGCATGGAAATTATGACCTAGAACCAGCGGGCTCTCCTCAGGCTAAGAACGTAGGCCAAGACAGAAACATCAGATGCTACAGACGGGAGCCTTCAGATCGCACCCGATCAAAGATCTCCACTAGGACGTGGATATATGTGCAGAGTGGCTGCTCAACTCTCAAACCAAATGGACTGGGGCTCTACTCAGGGGGTGCTGGTGGTGCTGCTGTTGCTGGCTTATTGTCATTCACACATTTTTTTCTCCAGTCAAATGTCAGAATTGTTGAAATCTGCTCACCTGGCTGTCTTGGATGCTGCCGGCCTTCCCTTTCGTGGGTCTGATGAAATTGTACACAAAGAGCAGCAGCAACGCCAGGGGGATCATGTACAGTTCAAAATTCCAGACCGTGACCAAAAACACCTGATTGGGAGAAAAGACCAAAATCACTGATTGAGGAAACAGTATGGGAGCAATATTAAATTCCTAGTCATTGACTTAAGGAACTGAAACGAGGGGCTCTCTCTATAGTATCATTTAGAAACAAACAGGTTAACACACACACACACACACACACACACACACACACACACAGATGTGCAATGATTAACACAGTTTTAGCACTGGTAGTAGAATGCGGAAGATATAGAAATGAGTTCACCAGTCACACGCTAGAATAGATGGATTCAGTAGCCCCGTACCTGGAAACCCCGTAAGCCTATCAACCCTGTTTTTTGTTCTTAGACTTCGTGTACCAGAATGGAGGTAAAATAGTATGGAGGCCTCCACAGTCTCAAAGAGGGAGGCCCCAGACCAAATTTTGCAAACAGTAAGGTTTATTTGAATTGGAGCAAGGGATTACTTTTAAAATTGGCTGCCGAAATTTAAAAATCCAGATATTTCAGAAAAAAACGTCAGATTTCCAAAGTCTCTTTTAAAATCTTAAAATCTTCCAATGTTGAGGCTGGTTGGCCACAAGAAAATGATGTGCTAGAGCTGCCGACATCTGACCAGGTAGGCGCTTAACCTGCCCAATTTCTACCAGCCCCTGAATTTGTGATCCCTACCATGAAAGGACAAGCAGGAGCTTGGATCTGAACCCAAGTGTCTACGCTACAATGGTCTCTGGAGACATGAATGCAAATAAGACATCGCCCGACCTCCAAGGGACACACTAATTAGTAGGACAAATAAGAAAAGAACACATGGTAATTATTTCATAAGGCACGAGTCAACTCTTGGACATATTACTTCAAAACTTAAGCCTCACTTTCTTTTCAAACCACAGGTAGTCCAGAAGATGATATAAGATAATTTGCAGTTATCAGCTGTCAGCTCTTAAGTGCTGAAAAAAGTCACTCTTGTAACATATCAACTTAGAAGAGGCAAATTATTACATCCTAAATATTGAAACTTCCATTCCAAAAGCAGTATTTGTTTTACATATTACTGAAAACTTTTTCTGTCATATAAATATTTTCTTTTTGTAGATATTATATATTTATTGCTTATGTTTTGGTTGCAATTGTAAATTTAATCATTTCTCCGACTATATTTTTCAAACTGGTAATTGTTGGCCTATAAAAGTTAATGATTTGTATATATTAATTTTTTAAATTAGTAAGTTTACTGAATTTTCTTATTGTTTCAAATAGCTTTTCATTTCATTCTTTTGGGGTTTGTAAGAATAAAGTCACATAACTCTCAAACAAAGAATTGCTTCTGTTTCCTCAAATATCTGCAACTTACTTTTTTCATACTTAATTTCATTACTACAAACAAAACAATATTAAATAAAACCGTTGAGAGGGATATCATTGTCTAATTCCTGAATTTATTTAAAATGCTTTTAATGTCCATTTTCAATATACACATACGTTCTTATTAATAAGATAGTATAATAAGACACCAAGTGCAATGCATGGCTATTTCCCCCAATGCTTTGGAATCCCTTCATTTGAAATTTATTATTATTATTATTATTATTATTATTATTATTATTATTTTATGTATTCTTTTTTTTTAGCTGAATCATCCTGCCACCTGCTGGCAGCTTAGCTCAACTCGGCCCAGGAATCGAACCGGCGACCCTGTTGCTCAAAACTGACACTCGTGAGCTAGATCTTAACCAACTGAGCCACTTGGCTGGCCGTTGGAATTATTTAACAGTCTATCTTGCTTTGACAGTAGATTTAAGACTAGAAAATAGCCAAATTACATGAAGCCAAGTCTCTGAATTACTCTCAAAAGCCCTATTTAAAAAACAAAACAAAACAAAAAACCTAAATCAAGTCCTATCCCTTGATATATTGTTTCCTCAACTAATCTGAGAAGGGGATACAATTTATTTTCTTGTAACACATTTACCAGCCTGTGAAACACTGCTAATTCTACACCAGTTTCAGAATGTTAACCACTGCCAAGGGTTACAAACCCAAATGCCCACAGGGGTCAAGCAGGTAAAACGTAAAGAAGTACAGGAAGTGAAGAATCACCACCACCATCATGCTTCTTAAAGCAAATGAATGAATACATCCAAGTGAAATGGAAAGTGATAGAAGCATGAAGAAAATCACTTGGGAGATAAAGTCTGTTTCGTCTCCACTTTACTGATTATTTCTGCAGACAAGCACTGAAGCCATTCATTGGTTCAAGAGAAGACATTTACTTGGTTATTACTTTGTGTTCAACCCGAATACTAGAGAGTGGCAGCCTTTGGATTAGACTGACAGTTGAGTAGGAGAAAGGAACTATAAACAAGAGATGTGACAACGGTAAAAATTTTTAAAGGCTTCATGAGCCTAGAGATGGTAAAACATCCAACAGGGGTGGATCCAACAGGGAACTGAGCAGGTGTCAGGTAGTGGAAAGGCCTGTGTGACATGGTACTCAGACGAAGATGCCATCAACGAAACGGGAAGTCATTTATGGATTTTTAAATAGAGAAATAATAGGATCTAATATTTAACTAGATTAACTCTGGTAGCAAAGTACCCTTAATTATGGGAATGGGGTGAGGAAACGAGAAACTGAGAAAAATTTTAGGGAGAAACTGCAATAGCCCAGGAGAAAGGTCAAAAACACTTTTGTCTGGGGTGCTAAGGGATATTTCATAGAAAATATAGGCTTTTGTTGGTTCTTTAAACATGGCTTGGAATTTGATTAACTGTGGGAAGGCATGTGGATAAACACCAGGATTTTGAGCCCAGTTACACTCACCCACTCACTAGGAATTACTTCTGAGTCCTGGGCAACCTTCAAGTCATTCTCAAGCCCCCTAACTATTTTTGGTTTGCCTGGAAGTAGCCCATCTGTTCCTCTCCCCACTGGGGTTGTACAATCTCATACGTACAATCTACAGTGTGGACAGGCGCCTAGTTTCCTCCTCCACCGCCTGCCCCTCCAGACATAGACTAGCAACCACCGGGAAGGCAGACTGAACAAAATCAAACACCAAAATCTTTCACAAGTTGCTGATAACACGTGACTTCCACATATTTGTAATTGCAGTCTCCTAGCTATTCACAGGTTCAAATGTCCATAGTCGGTAATCTCTCCCCTTCTCCCAGACATATGCCTTTTAAAGTTACTTCCTACACAAGGACCCAGTGCTGGCTTCAGAAATCCATATCCATCAGAAAGCAACATGAATGGAAGTAATGAATGACCTGGCTGTGGCAGGCAGAAAAATGGTACCCTAAGGACATCCATGTCTTATTCTCCAGAACCTGTGAATACGTTACATTGCGAAGGGCATTAAGGTTATAGATGGAGTTAAGGCTGCTAATATGACCTGGACACAGCGAAGTCATCATGGATTATACGGTGAACCCAATGTAATCACAAGAATCCTTAAAAGCAGAAGGCAGAGGCAGAAGAAGAAAGTCAGGGAAAGATGTGAGGGCAGAAGCAAGGTCAGAGGGATGCCATGTGAGGGCTCAGTAACGTGCGCTTGATGGATTTAAAGTTGGAGGAAGGAGCTATTAGCCAAGGAATGTGGGCAGCCTCCAAAAGTTGGAAAAGGAAAAAAAAAAAAAACCAGGTTCTCCAGGACCACCAGAATGAAACACAGCCCTTCGGACACCTTGATTTTAGCTCAGTGAGACGGGTGGCAGACTCCTGACTTTTAGAACTATAAAATAATAAATGTGTGTTGTCTAAAGCCATTTACTTACATGGTAGTTTGTTACAGTAGCCAGTGAACACTAATAAAGTGGTATAATGTGAAAGGGGTGAACATAGCTCAGGAAATTATGAAAGGTCCAGGTTCCACCTAGAAAGTGGTAAGGGACAATAGACCCCAATCATGGCAGAAAAGCTTCACAAACCTCAGCTCTGATCACACCCCAAACTCGTCCTGTCCTAAGTCTGACTCCCCCACCCCACCCCGTCCTCTAATAAAACCTTCAATTTCAACCTGTGCTTCCAATTCATATCCTGGTTGCCATGACATACAGAAAGTTTACCAAATCAACATCCATTAAGCGTCTGTTCTCTGGAGATCCAAATGCATCAAAATATACAATTTCTGGTGTTTACTTGGCACTATCTTTGACCATTTCTACTTGTCACAGGATGAACTGGTGAGTTCACTGCTGGGGGAGGGGGTGGGAAATCAAACTGGGTGACTTGCCTTGTCTCTTAGAGACAAAACTCCAACCGCTAGTTCTAGTTTGTGTGGGAATGACCCAACTGATAGTTTATTTCCAGTGTTTTTGCAAAAAGACACCTGGGTTATGTGTTTTTCACTTTCATTATCCTCTATGACTGTTTAAATAAAGAAGGTATATAATTTTCAAACTACCTGTTCCCAATAGCACTACAATGAACATTTCTATAAAGAATGTAGGCAATTCCATTCTGATTTTGAGGAAGTCTATACATAAAAATTCTATATACTCTTAACATTAAATATAAATTAGAGATTTTTAGACTGAATTCTTCAAGACATGGAGTTTTTGTTGACTTTTGTTTTACCCTTTTGGGTGTACTAAAGGATTCTAAACAAAAAAGAAACAAAATGTTTCTAACCTGTATTGATACACAAGTTTCTGACTAAATATGTAATCTTTTTTTCTCTTTTAAGTATGAAACATTGATTAAAATCCCATTGTTTGCATCATGTGACTAGCTACCCTATACTTTACATTTTGTGATGATTTTATGTAAATGGAAAAAAAGTTAATCCATCACCTATGGCCCAGTAAAAATCCCCACACCACTCATAAAGGCAGAGCAGTTAGTTTAAAAAGTAGAAAAGCACTAAACCAAAAGAAAGCAAGAAAGCATCTAATATGCTGGAACTATTGGCTTTTTTTTTCCCCCTACAATGTTCATAATCTCAGGTCTAGAATCACACAATAAATTTCTCATTATGCGTTTTTGCAGAAGCTGGTAATTGAGCAGTTGAAAGTCTGACTTTG